CATATGAGCAGCAGCGCCTCATAAGAGTGATGTGCATATGAGCAGCAGCGCCTCATAAGAGTGATGTGCATATGAGCAGCAGCGCCTCATAAGAGTGATGTGCATATGAGCAGCAGCGCCTCATAAGAGTGATGTGCATATGAGCAGCAGCGCCTCATAAGAGTGATGTGCATATGAGCAGCAGCGCCTCATAAGAGTGATGTGCATATGAGCAGCAGCGCCTCATAAGAGTGATGTGCATATGAGCAGCAGCGCCTCATAAGAGTGATGTGCATATGAGCAGCAGCGCCTCATAAGAGTGATGTGCATATGAGCAGCAGCGCCTCATAAGAGTGATGTGCATATGAGAAGCAGCGCCTCATAAGAGTGACATTACTGAACGACAGCAGCGCGATTTGCCGAGATAAAAAAAAACTTTAAACTTGGACAAGAAAAATATGCGGCGGCATATACAGAAAATAAATTTGTCGCGTTGTTTCGGTCAAATTACAAGAAAAAGAACGCGAAAAAAATATTTGAAATGGAAGCCTTAATACAATCCAGAAAAAGAAATTCCTTGGCGTCCATACCACTACAAGAACAAGTCTAAATCACACATCCGTCTGACAAGGAATGCTTAGCATGTGTTTGAGCACAATCCCTGGACGTCCGCCTCTGTCCCACTATATTGTCACCAAAATAATCTCGCATCAGCTCCTCCAACTGAGAATAGATGAGCGTTAGTTCTATTGCTCCTGGGCCTCAGTAGCAAAGACGTGCCTCAGGCAGTTGACGACGTAGTCGCATCAGCGTAGCCGTCGATGTAGCCCTACAAAACATCTTCCCAAGTTTTAATGAAAAATTGGTGTCGTTGAAGTAACTAGAAGATAAAAATTCCCACTAAGGATACCAAACTAAATACTGTTGTGTTATGGGAATGTTATCTTTCTTGTCTCTTTGAGGTTTCGCTGACGATAGATAAGGCGATTGAACTTTTTTAATCACTGATGATAATCCCTCACCGATACGCATATTTTTTCATCTAGTTTTAGTAGGTTGATAATATGCTTTTATTTGAGCAAAATGGCATTTTTCCGCTTCATGTACATGAATTTCTTCAAGTAATGCAATATCTGGCGGATAAGTCGTGATATCACATCAACTTCAGTGGCCAATTTTATAGAATTAGCCTGATGTAGCGCCAGCTTTAGAAGCCTCTAAAAACAGTCGCCTAAGATACATGCCGGTTAATTTTGAGGTTGGTCCGTTCATTTGTGATCCGTAGCCGTCCGGATTAGCAAAAAAATTATTGCACGACGGTTTTTGAGCGTTTTATTTCCTTTGCGATGTCCCGTTGGCTTCTACCGCATTGCGCAAAGGCCAAAATCTGCGCCTTCTCGGCTTTTGTGAGTCCTGTCTCTTTTGGCATCTTTTTTGCTTAAAAAAAAATATAAATGAGGGCACTGAACTACACCAGAAGTACCCTATATGGCGGAAATCAGGATATT